GCGTTTAACTCCATGTAAACTTAATGTAGGAAGCTTTATTGTGATCGTAAAATTGAAGAATTTCATCCAATAAAGACCAGATACATAGATTAATCATATCATTCCCATTATTCCATACACTGTCAGAACGGTTATTTGAAGTCCGGGTCCTTTGGATCTCATATTGGTTCTTGTACGTTACCTTAGCATGGAAACTGCACCACATAAGGATATAGATGATAGGCTACACAAACTGCGTGGGCAGTTGTGGTGCGTTTAGGCGCCTGAGGGACCACAGAAGCAGTAACTAAGAGACACGACAGTAATCGTAGAAATGACGAAAGGAACGACTATTACGCGCAACGTGTAGGCAAGCGAAAGGGATTAGTCCACTTACCGTGTACCATGACTGCGTTCAAAATAGGCTGCACGCAACCAAATGCTCTTTTTAGTTGGAAAATGAGCCAACGCGACAGCATAGATAGCTCGTGCGCATTCGATCGCTCCGTTCGTGGCACAGTTCTCTGCATCCGACAGCCACGTATGCTTTTTATCCTGTTCTTCCAAGCCGAAACCGATGATCGATTTGCTGTATAGGGAGAGGGGAAAAACGTATCAGAAAACAATACAATCCCGTAAGAGAAAACTCATGAGGTTTTCTTCTGTTCTGATTGTGCGCTCTAAGGTAAAAACGCGAAATGAAGACCCGAAATGCGGGAGGATAGATGTAGTAAAAATAAAGGGACCGAAAAGCTGATGAAGGCATGAAAATCAAAAATGTAGTTTTGACCAAAAACAAAGAGAAAGCGTATTTTATTCTGAAATACAATCCGTGGTAAGAATAGGCTCTCGGTTTCAAGGTTGTCTTTGGATTCTGGGGATAATCAGGCGATCTATAAAATTGTAAATGAAATTATCGCAGTCTGTCAGACGTTAATGGTAGATACCAGATACTTTTCGATTTTTACGTAGATATGTGTGAGACTACTCCCGACCAAAACAAATTTAGAAACAACCGGAAAACTCCTTTATCAGCCTAACTTTCCACACCAAGTGGTCAAAACGAATACTGAAAGGAATACACGAGTAAAGAAAGTACAAAAAGATTCAGAAAGCTGATGAATTATCTCAGCCATACTTTTCTTCCCCTTAATTAACGAACCACTTTTTCAACTTCTAACTCGACTCATGTTTTAGCCGATGATGGCGATCTACCGAGCCGTTTCTCCCATTTCGCCACTGGAAACATTGAGCGCGACCGCTGGACCCTCACAGTTCCTTACTAGTCACATCTTTCACCCCTTATTTGAATTTCAATTCTGTCGTTCCCCGTCCCACAATTTCGTGTTTTCTTCTCTGGGTCCGTTTTACGCTCCTCTGTTGTTGTCTGTGCTACAGTTAAGATTAATTTCTTATTCCGTACCAGGCGATTTTTCACTCTAACCCTTTTCCGACTTCGGACAGTGCTGATATCCCTGCCGCCAACTCTCGGATATTGTAATCAAGTGCAGAATAATGCTTTATTTTAACCCATCTACCTACTCGGTNTTATTTTAACCCATCTACCTACTCGGTATATATGCGAGATGCCTTACCAACGATCCTCAAACTCGCATACACTCAACTAAAATACTTCGGCTTCAATATGTGGGTTTGTTTGCATTGAAAGGTTTCGTAAAGCGTGCCAAAGTGGGAATAATTATAATCGGAGGTTACGAGACCTCGAGTGTGTGCAGATATCCAACGATTAGAGGTTCTCGATCAGACGTAGTTGATTAGTATGGTGCAAGTAAGATGGAGCGGGCTAGTAAGCAATTTCAAGGTAAACCATAGTGCATTTGGAAAACGTAAAAACGTATCCCATCGAACTGGCGTGGGTATGCCTCGCTAGTCAGAACATGTATCGTGCATACCCAACAGTGGTCAACCAAACAATGATTTGATTCCAGGTGCTGCTCCAGGATGAAAAAAATTACATCGAGGTAGACAGATGAGGCCAACAGACGAGGCGTGAAAATGTGTGCGAAGAGATCACATAGAGTATGTCTATCATGATCTTGACTGGGGTTCCAAGGGCCCTGTAATTAGTTGGGTGGAGACAGTGAACCGACAGCAGTGGCGTTCTTGTGGTTATTGTTCGTTAGGTCCGATGTGTACGCCTAGTTACACTGCGCGATTTGTGTTGACTAAAGAGGTGAGAATTCTTTTATTCTCCCTTGGAACACGCTCACTTCCTGGAATTCTTTTCACACTGTATTTATTTTCAGCTTGGCAGTGATAACGGAAGTTTTTTCATGATATTGGCCTGAAAGATGATGATAGAAAGAAGACCACGATCATCGGATACTTCGGTAAGCTAATTTGGATAAGATTTCATCAATTTATACCTTGCTGAGCGACCAAACGAGATGCTAAATATAAAAAGGTAGACAAAAATGGGTGAGATGAGCTTAACACTACGATCAATCACAGAATCCAATGACTAGGCAACTCGATCACTTAACAGTATCAGATAGCATTAACTGTGCAAAAGTAGCTGTGAGTCACCAGATCGAGCAGAAATCGCCTCAACGAACAGTAGCCTGAATAGGAGGAAGGCTCGAGGTGAATATGGTAATCCCTCGGAGATAACCGAACTCTGCCTACCAGTCGTGCTTAACCTCTTGTATACGCTCCGATTCCACTCACGGAAACTCATCGTGGATCATAATGAAAGTAGATAATGTGACCAAGAAGTTCATACGACTCACAAGTGCTTATTATCAGTTTCAGTTTTTACTACTCGGATATTCAATCTCGATTGGGCGTTGAATAGATGAATCTTCAAAGTTTCTTTCGAATTAGGAAGTTGCACAAGTCTGTGCGCTGTATACGATACCGTCCGGTATTACGCCATTGATTGGGCAATGAACCGTGTCTATGCAGGCCAGATAATTTCATCGCGATCTTCCAGTTTGCGAATAATATCGTCATTCTGATTACAAACAGGTGCATGAGAAAAGGGTCTAAACCACGAAGTCACAAAGATTTAGTGTTTATTCATAATAAACACCAACATAAGCCTTTGAACTTGGAGTGAAGAACCACAATAAGACGGGTGTGGCATTGAGCCAAAGGACAGCAACAATGGCTGCCATCGAAACTGGATGGGGGTGGCAGGCTTTGAACCTATAATGTTGGGGCTCAAAACACGGAAGTGATCGCAAACAAACTATATGAAGCGTAAGTGGTGGAAATATACCAGATATTATCGTAAAATTAACTAAAACAGACACATCCGCACTAGTGATGTGAAAGGAGGAAATATAATCGAGAAAAAAACAATACAAACGAGCATCTGGTATGCAATACTTGTTTGAGTAACTTGATCAACCGAAATTATCAATCAACCAATTGGATTATCTCAACCATACGGCTTAGGTTACTCCGTATCTCAGAAACATCATCAAAACACCTTACAGTTTTACAAAATTACTGAAAGCATCGCGAGAACCCATGTACGTACATGATCGCCTGAGCAGTAAGCACACTCTTGGCTGCCTCACATTCTTCTGCATCTTTTATCCATTGATCTCTGTTGATTTCGACCATATTCGCTTGCAAAGAAGCCACACCACGATCGACAATTTTAGGCACCATCATTTGATTACCCTGGGCTTCTTCCAGTCGGGCAGCAGCAAACCAGATCTGACGATCCGTAGGAATACTCTCACGAGCCTTATTTAATACCACACGAGCTTGTTCGTAGGTTTCCAATCGAGCCAGAGCTAGCCATAACTCCACTGACGTTGGGCAACACTCCACCGCCAGACTAAGCATTAAACGAGCATCGTCTTCGTCCTCCAATTCGACAGCTAACTTCCACAACAGAACTGAGTTTGGTACCTGTTCTAGGGCTGTGAAACAATAGAAAGGGGAATCAAATATAACAACGCTTAGTTGCAAAGATCCAGTATAGAACAATTAAACATGAGCTATTATTAGCGTATGGTGCATGCTTCGAAATAAATGAAAAAACTGCGTGTGATTGTCACATAAGGAATTTACACGATGAGAATTTCTTTTATTTCAACGCCATTCTATCCATGTGAGAAGCAATTTACGACGGTCACATTTATCTAGGTGGCCACAAACATCAACTTAAACTAGATCTTTATTGTGATTATCACGGTTACCGAAACTGAAGTGGACTATATTAATAGTGAAAAGCATTATTGCCCTACCTCCTAACGGCAAATATTTTATTACACTACAGCCATGCAAAATGATGCACGCCCTGGTCCAAAGATAGCAATTGTTTGATTGGTGTAGTCTACCGCCCTCCTGCATCCTCAGACTCAGCTAACGAGGCACCCTTGTAGACTATGAGAAACGCTGTCTCAGCAAAGTTCACTCATGTTCTCATAATGGGGGACTTCAATTGTTGCAATTTTATAAAACGCCAGAACTATCACCACCCTTTCGAGCGAAACTTATCACAGATTATAGACTCACATCCAATGTATAAGCATGTGAACAATCCCACCAGATTTGGAACAGGCCAACCACCATCAACATTGGACTTCGTATTGACAAGTGAGGAGCTCATGGTCGAATCGGTCGAAATAACATCTCCATTAGGACGAAGTGACCATGCAGTTCTGCTTTTCGATTTCATTTACCACGCCTGAATAGGAATATGCCTGAAAACCAACACACGCACTGCTATTGACCACAATGAATTGCTGAACCTTGCTACTGTCAAACGATGGGCACAACCAGAAGAGCAGGTAGATCCACTTGAGTCTTGGAAAAGATTCGAGGGCACTCACAACTCATAACGGTCGACAAAAAAACCAAGTCTGTCGGTGCGATGCCTACACGATTATCACCTATCCGTAGTCGAACCAAGAATGTCACAAGGAAGTCACAGAGGAATTTCTCCCGGCGAGAGTTCAGATGTCCGACCGCCGACACTTGGGACAACTATATCATGTTGAGAAACCTTTGTGTAAAATTAGTGGGAGACCATAAACGAAGGTTTCAGGAAACTCTGGCACATGAATTTATTGGCAATCCAAAGCTACTGTATGAGCATATCAATGCTACCAGAAAAGTGAAATATAGAATACCGGCACAAAGGCATGCAGGATGTTTTCACTACTACTACTACTGAAGCAGCCGAATTCCTAAAAGTCCAGTTCTACGAAGTGTTCACTGCAGGTAACAAAGGCGGACTACAGCTTCCACACCTATCAAGTGTCCCATACCCCCAACTGACCACCGTCACGATCAAATCTGAAACGGTTAAAAACAAACTATTGGCCCTGCGCCGGAATTCATCTCCAGGGGAAAACAACATCCGGCCACAGACCGTGACGTCCTTCGCAAATTACATGTCTCAAATAATTGCCCATTTACACCAAAGAATGTTCGACAAGACGAAGATCCCTCAATCCTGGTACACCGCATCATTTCGCCTATTTACAAAGGTGGCTGCAGAAGTGATCCTGCGAACTACCGTCCAGTTACAGTTCTTCCTGTTCTGTCAAAAGTAATAGAATCAATTGTTGCTGATTCTCTGATGGATCATTTCGAGAAGCATAACAGACTTTCGCCGGCCCAACACGGATTTAGAAGGAAACGCTTGTGCACCACAAACCTGCTACTTGCACGAGATGAATGGACAAGATCAATCGACGCAGGAGAGGCAGTAGACGTAGTCTACTTAGACTTTGCTAAAGCTTTTGACAGGTTTAACCGCCATATATTGTCACGAAAGCTCCATAATTACAGTGTCTGAGGACTGGATTGAGGAATTTCTTCGACAACGTACCGTATCGGTTCGAGCTAATGGTTCTCTGTCGGGACCGATTGAGGCTGTCCGTGGAGTTCCACAAGGATCCGTACTCGGTCCGTACCTTTTCCTAGCACTCATAAACGACCTACCAGATGTCCTTGGAGAAAAGGCATTATTATTCACTGATGACGCCAAAACATGGAGGACGGTAAAATATCCTGAAGATTATGAAACCTTGCAGGAAACTCTCGACGCAGCTTATCGATAGTCCATCATTAATGACATCGAATTTAACGTTGTATCGCTGTGCCACAGGGGTCACTATCCATACTTACTAGGAACTCAGCCATTGTCCCGTTCTCCAAACGAAAAGGACCTGGGAGTTATCGTTCGTGAGGATCTAGGATGTTCCACACGTTGCGCAAGAGCGTCTTCAAAGGCCATATAACACTGCGGATTGCTAAAATGTGTTTTTGGATCATTCAAAACAGACCTATTGCCCCGTATATTATCAGCATGCATTAGACCACATACCGAGCATGCTATACAGGCTTGGAATCCATGGCTGATTCGCAACCAAAAGGCACTCGAACGCCCACAGAGAACAGTAACCAAAATGGCGAAAGGGATACAATCTGCAACCTACGATGAAAGGCTGCAAATTCTCGGACTCTATTCGTCTGAATACCGTCGAATACGGAGAGACATGATTCTCGTATATCAAATACTACAACAACCTAACCACTCGTGTATTACTCTACTAACACTATCCAGGAATGGCCACCTCAGATGACATCCGTTTCAACTTTTGCTTCAAAAGAGCCGGCTCGACTGCAGGCATCATTCTTTCAGCCTCAGAGTTTGTAATGCCTGTAACTCTCTTTCACCTCAAGTTGTTTGTGCACCAACCATCAATTGATTTAAGTCACGGATGAATGAAGCATTGAAACACCTACTTTTCCAGTACCCGTGAGTGAACGTCAGAATTTGCTATTTAATTGTACTACCAACCGAACCCAGTGTGTACCGATCCTATGGGATTCGATAAGCATCAGCTTTGTAATTTACCCATAATAAAAATTTGAATTTGTCTAAATAGACGATACGTAAGATGAGATCATGGCTAATGAAATGAGACTGTTACACAGCAAGCACCAAATCTAAACGATAAGCCAGGGCGACTAGTAACTGGATATGAGTTGCACTATTGTTTAGTGAATTAAAGCATCATGATGAAAGTAACGGTCAGACTGAGTTCCCTCTGGCTTGAGTGAATAACATCATTGTCGTATTGTGCAACACAGCGAAACGGATTCCCCTGGTTGCAGTCAGGCTCACAAGGTACTCCGTGTAAGTAAACTAGC